TGAGCAATTCCTGTAACTTTGCTTTAGAGTATTCTTATCCTTCTTAGCATGGCAATTTCCCTTACAATACAATGGAAAGATGTGTAGTTTACTGTCCCAAGTGCTGAACGGACGGAAGAATTCTTGCCCTAAAGGGTTCCCATTCTAAAAGACACAGGCAGACGACGCGCAGGGACCTGTCAATACCATACATAAGGGAACAGATACATCAAAGTGAGATACGAGGTGTTATTTACGGGCAGTATAGATGGATTTTTTGAATGGAGGGAGGAAGAAAAACAGAGGAAAGGAGTGGAGGGGAAAAAAAAAGAACGGGATTACGGCCAGCTTGTCATTCCTGCCATGCTGAGTCACCTGATTTTGCAGGTGTCAGGGAAGAGGTTTTTTAGTAAAGCATCTGAGGAGGAGGAAGACGACAGCTGCACGGGCTCGACAGCTGCACGGGCTCGCAAGGCAGTTTTTCCCCTGCATTAGGAAAGAGGAAGGTTTTAAGGAAGAAGCCAGCTGTTGTGCTGGAGAGAGGTCAACACCTTTACTGGTAACTAAACCAGGGTGGAAGGACGGGATTACACTAAGAGAGCATTAAAGATCAGGAGTAAAAGCCTACGTTTGCAAAGGTCAAGGCAAGACATAAAGAAGGGCACTTCGAGAGGATGCAATATTCTGCTCAGGCTTCTAGAGGCAGCAGTGAAGGTGAAAAGAGGGGGAACTAGAGATGTTAAGACTTCAACGATGAGCTCTTAGAGGAGCGACAAGACTGTGTGGCAAGAAGCTGGGTTTTAGCTACGAAACACGACAGCAAGCAACAAGTTTCAGGAAGAACTGACTAGGGAGCCAGTGTGACAGCCAACTCCAAAAGACATCAACAAGGCTTGGGGCCTGGCTCAAAGCCTTTTTGGTTTTGTTTCACTGTGAGTATGAGGAAAAGAGGGAAGGGCAAAAGCAATAGCACAAGCATTGGGATTGATGTTACGATAAAAAACGAACATCCACTGACATAAATACACACTGAAGACGAGAGAAGCTGGCTCATGGTCAGTCAGTCATGCTTGTTGACAGGACAGCATGCACAAACCTGACCAATATACAGTTTGCAGGCTCCATGCAGCCCACAAAGTCATTGTTTTTTGCCTACATGCTTTTCTGCCTTCTGGCCAGAGGGAGGGCAATGAAGAACTAGGAAGACAGGGAAATCAGGGAGAAATCTAGCAGGGGGGAAGGCACTGTGGTGGGAAAGGAAGTGGCAATGTGGCAGCAAAGAATAAGGAAGGATGCAAGAGGTATGTTAATAATTTGAAGCCTTTAACAGCCTGCCCTCATTCAAGTTGCACAATGCTGGCTCAAACCAGGAAAGGCAAAGGCCAGAGACATGGTTTTGAGGGACCAAACCAAAGAAGAGGAGAACATAAAACCCAAAGAAAGGCAAAATGTCCAGCAACAGGCAGTGCCTGTCGGGATTAGAAGTTGTTACAGGGTTACAGATGGCATGGATGGTGTGCACACCCTGAGAACTGGCCAGGAGTAGTCATTAGGGACATCAAAGAATAGTTCAGAGGACTGCAGAAGGAAGAAATGATTTTGGAGATTCAAGAACGGAGGAAAGGAACTGCAGCCAGCAGCTGCTGTTAGTAGATGTGATTTGTTTGGAAAAAAATTGAAAAGGGTCTTGTGCAAAAGAGAAGGTCAAAGAACATGAGGGTAAAGCAACATGAAGAGATGGAAGAATATAGAGAAGAGATGTGTGAGAAATAGAGGAAAGCAGAAACCAAAAGGGAGCAGAATCACTCAAGCATGTCGTGGAAAGGATGAAGGTAGACAGGGAAGGAAACTACTGGCAGAAAGGCTGATGGCCTGACCACATCTTACCAACTTCTATTTTGAGGATAAAAGCAAACCCTTGGTTCGTATCTGTTGCTCTCTTGCTACCTAACAAGATAACGAGGTGCCTCTTGAACATCTTGCAGTCAGAATAGCTGACATCTGCCATCTCCGATAATCCGATGGCTTCCCATCAACTCAGAACATCAAAACTCCACATTATCACCTTTGTTTTGGCCTACCATACAGGCTATTTCCCTCACAATGGCATTGGCAGTAGAAGCCCTGCTCCCCGTCACTCTACATTTTTTCCCCTGCATTCCCCTCAGTGTTAAACAATTGTATAAAATGGTTTCCAGGACATTTCTTACTGTCCAGAAGGGAATCTCATATAGTATAGTATGAGACCAGAATCTGGCGTGACAAAACTCAGTGCACTGCTGTATCTATCACCTGTTTCCCCTACAATTAGACTTCATTTTCACACAGCCCAGCCTTTAGCTGCTTTACAAAGATATTTAAAAAAAAAAAAGGACAGACCTACAAAATCATTCTTTCCAAGCATTTGATGACGTTCACAGCTCTGCTCAAGTCATATGCTAAGAAAAGCCATGTCTTTTACTTTTTTTTTTAAGAAAAAAGAAAACCCCTTTAAAGGGTTTTGTCACTCTTTTTTTAAAAGAATTTTAAAAATTCTTTTTAAAAAAGAAACGACCTCCATACTGATGATATCCACTAACAATCCTTCCGTGAGGGAATGCTGCAAAGCCAGCTTTGTTTATGTCTGACTTCTCTGCAGAAGACAGACATGCCTGAACTGCCATCAGTTTAATACTGTTTGTTTTTCTAAAGAGGCTAATCTGGGTGTTGTTCCTTCTACAGACCGTTAAAATAAGAAATGCATGCGTTTCTGAACTGGTACAACGAAGATGGAAGATTCCCTTGGAAAGCTCAGATTAAATAACTTATCATACCTTATTGTAGATGTAACAATTTGTAAACATTGTATTAAAGTCCTGGATACATTCTTGAGCATTCCAGTAGTAGTTATTCTCCAAGCGTTTCTTTATTGTTCCCATATCCATAGGAGTTTTAATAATCTTATAATAATCCTGCAAAAGGGCAAAGAAGGAAACATCAGCGTGGAATCAAGAAACATCAGCAAAGAAAGCTCACACTACACGTATTTACAGGGAGGCATAGAGTTTAAAGAACGGGCTTCCTCGTTCTCACTCTCATCACTGGACTTACCTGGACGCATTCTCCAAACCTAGCAGATATACAGCTGCGATAAGAGTCTCTAACTCTCCTCAAACTGGTGCCTGTCACCCTAGTTACCATCAGCCTCTCAGCTGTGATTTATAATTAAACTTAAGGCAAACACTATGAAACGCTTTTCAACCTTTTCCACCGCCTCCAGAAGGAAGCAGGGAGTAAGTCATTTTCTTCTCAGAGGTTTGGCTAGCACACAGCACCGGAGCTTCGCTCTACCGAGTAAGTCTTTCTCAGCAAACGAAGGCAAAGAAATTCCTAATTCTGGCCTTTCGGTTTGTAACGGAGCTTTGTAACTTCTAAAAACCTCCTATGAAATGAATGACCCTTCTTCTCTACGTGGCCCGAACAGTTCACACATCTAATGCGATGACAGAAGGAGCAGTGAGAAGATCAGATTTACTACAGCCTGTTAAACGAACCCTGCTAATAGAAAAGAAGATGCTTCTATTTTTAGGTATAACGTTTAGTACAAGGGGCTGAAATGCTGTTGCTACAGAACCAGTGCTCTCTACGTGTAACTATGAGGTTGTTGCTATTCCAAAGAAATTACGCAGCCCAACGCTCGAGTAATAGATTACATATTTAAGCACTATGATATCCTAACAGTAAAACAGATAAGGAAAAGTGGGTGTTATCATAAAACGTTCCACCGCAAAGAAACACACATTATGCAAAAACGTAACTCTCAAGAGACAGCATCTCAAGGAAGAAAAAGAAATGAAACCTCCTCTTCTCGCAGTAGCTGAAAGGCTACAAAACATATAAACGGAAAAGATGTTGCTACCATTTACTACAATATGTTATCTCTAAATTTTTGCTAGCTCCCTTGGGTTTTGCTCTTGACTCTCTCAAACTCCTCCTCCTGTTGAGCGAGGAAACAGGCAACGCTCAGCCTTCGGGAAAGGGAAGAGCTTCCACAGCTCCTCTTCCAGTGCGTGATGCTCTCGGCTGCGCTGACCACACCTCGCACAGTATGCACCCGACTGCTTTCAAAACCAAGCTCCTCTCACAAAGGACTCTGACAAACAGCAAGAATCACGCAGCACAAAAAGGCTCCAGCGCCAACTGTACTGAAAACAAACTCAAATATTTCCCCTTACGAAATGACTTGCGGGTTACTAGCAGCGTTGCAAAGGCACAAGCAGCACAGCTGCAGGCAGCCCGGCGGCTGTTTAAGCGCTCAGGCACTCCCATTAAGTATTCTGGTCTCCAGAAAAGTCTCTGCCAACTAAGGCAAAGCAGCAGAGATCGAGCAACGGATTATACGAGGCAGAGAGCAGCATTCTGAGCTGTGGGGAACAGTAAGGCAGAGCCCGAGTTGACAAAAGATTTGCTTCTTAATAATTTCTGATGCCTGACTGGGGCAGCGCACATCGCTCCGTCTAGACTGTGGAACTACCGCGTTTGTATAACTAAATGACTCCTGAAATATTTATTCCTATCTCATACTCTGTGCCCCAGCTGAGGAAGGGCAATTCTTGATGACAAAAGTCTACTAGTCAAAACGCTACCTGAGCCACTGAAATTTCCACCTCGTCTCTTATTTTCTAAAGACTGATTCTGTGATTTCAGAAGAAGGGAGAAAAGTACACCGGACGCAAAAGGCTTCATCGCTTCTACCCTTACGCAACGAGCAAGCCAAGGAACTTCAGCCGCTTTCTCAATCTCTACTTACAGGGAGGTTCAGCTTGACAGCATCCACAGGCTGCTGGAAAGGCCACGCAAACTGGTGCTTCCATAGCGTCTTGAGCACCACTTTGAGCAGATACTGCAGCTGGTTGGTCTGTCGCTTGGGCTTGTTGGGGTTGGAGGTCTCTGGTGGAGGGGGGTTAACGCCTACAGTACTGCCTTGCTGGGGTTGGGCCTGTGACTGCGTCGTAGACATTTGGGTAGTTTCTAGTCCATCCCCCATTACCGGCAAATTTCTCAGTCTCGTCCCAGGGCCGCTCTCCGCAGACATGCTATTGATCCCATTGCATTCCTCACCAGACACCCTGCAAAACAACGGGAACACAGACAGGTCACTTCAAAGCGCGTTTTTAGGGTGACGTATTGTTTAAAAACAAACCAGCAGGCCTTCGCGAGGCTTGCTCGGACAACTAGACTTTGCACCCTGGATGCTTAGCGACAGTGTTCTGTTGTCCAAGAGCACCTAGCAAACAAGCGGTGTCGTTATTCTAGATCTGGAAGGAATAAAGGATATTCTGAGGCAATCTGCTGTCTCCTGCACGGCACACAGCAGCATTCTCTTTCAGCTCCTTAGCGAGCATCATTTTTACCCCTGCTCTTGCCTCATCTCATCAAGGAGGGCTCCAAAATGGACATGGTCTCGTTAAATGTTCTCAAGAACCTTCACTGTCTCACAGGCGAAAATAAAATCAGCAAAACTGTGCTAGTGCTCTGCAGGTGCAAGCGAACAAGATGTTTCAGCTCCAGCCCTCGCTGAGGGTTCGGTTCGCCTGCACTAGTAAGAGAAATTAAGTTAGTGTCAGCGAACTTTAATTATTTACAACGCTCTGGCTAGAAGGGTGCAGGATAACATCTTTTATCTCATCTCAATTTATCAGCAATCTTGCATTATTGCAAGATAATCTCCCCACCCAGCCACAACAGGTCAGCTAACCCCAATTTAACGCTAAGTTCTTCCATTTAGGTGAACTTTAAGCTTTCACAGCATGCTTCAGCTGAATTACCCAGCAGATCGACCCACTCGTGGGGGTAATTCACATTATCTGCTTCAGGCATATAACATAAGTATCCTTCTGAAGACCTGAAAGTTGAAAAAAACAGGTCTCTGCTGATTCTACAGAGTTCATAATATAGAGGAGGTAAGATAGCACTTCAAAGACATGCAGCACATGCATCTTCTTAGGCTGCAACTGCATAACGAGTCACCACAAAGTCAGAACCAGTCACTGTGAATTGGCCAAAATGTGGTGAATTCACACTCTAACTTAGCTAGTGGGATCTTTTTCGTGTACACGCATCCAAGAGTGGCTTATCTGTATTCTTGACTAAGCCATATAATTCAACATTGAGAAAAATCTAACACACTTTAAAGCATATCGCTATCAATTATAGAAGACACTGAGGCATTTTGTGCAAAAGTAAATAACATTGATCACCAATTTCAAGTGACGCTCTGGGAAAATGAGGAATAAAACACTAGCCCTTTAACATGTCTTCACTCATGGGGCTATAAGAAGTGCTTTCTCAGCTGGGTTAGAAATGACCTGGTTTTAGCATTCCTCTGCCAGCCCTCTGTGATCTGGAAAACACTCCATGCTGAGGCACTAAACTCAGCTGAGCCAACGTGGGCACATATATTTTGTCCGAGTAAAATAAGTATATGCTCACTAGAAACCTCTGGCCAAGTTTGTCTCATGCCATATAGCAGCCCAGGATCTCTGGTCGTCATCTGGGTAGGGAGACGTGGTCTCAACATGTGCCGCAGCAAGGGATTAAGGGCAAGAGAGATAACACGTCTGTGCAATTTTACATGCAATGTCCCTCACGTGCTTCCGAGTCCCCAGCAAGCAGCGCTCCGTAAAGCATCGGCCAGCCTCAAACCCCTGCTTTAAATCTGTGGTCCGTCACTTTTACCGGCCCAAGAACGAAGACGACCAAATAACACTCTAGGGCAACATCGGACTTTGTTCTCTAGCCTTTTAACTTTAGTATTTTAACTTGCAGGGCTCCAAGCAAGTGGAAGAGTCTCGCAAGGAACGTATTAGCCTGCAGGTCACAGCCTGCAGGGTGCTGCGGTAGGCCCAGGCTGCACTCCTTCCATCACCTGTCGTATTTTACTGATGTGAGACTTTAGCTGGAGATACATGAGTATCGTATTCAGGGAGCTGTTAGCTCAGCTGAGCTGTCCCCTGAGAAATCTCCTTATATAGAGCTTTCATGTTGCACCTAGTTTTCTTCCATTCCACTTTTTCCCCCCCATTAATGGGGTAACCTGCCTGCTCTCTGTAGACTCTTCTCAGAGGAGATTTGGCTCAAATATGACATGACTTGGATGCAATTTGCATGTTCCTTCTGCAAAATTCCTTGAATTTTGCTTTCAGGTTGTGCTGATCCCTTGGATCTCAAGTCTGCACGTGAAAGGAGGGCTGCTTTCTTTTGAGTGACAAACTGTCCTTATCGAACTGGTGGCCAAGCAAAAGGAATCCTCTTTACTCACTGCAGGGGCTACATTACCTTGTAGGATACATTGCCATATAATTTTGCCCCAGAAAATGATGCAGAGTCAGAAGTTGCTTGGCTTGTCCATCTATCTTCCGTGGCTTCAGGCACAAATGCCTTTAGATACTGTATCTGATGAAACAAACAAAGCAATTAATCTGAGGCATCAACGGAAGGCATCAGAAATGAAGGCTACCTCCAGAGAATTACCTTTTTTCATTTACATGAATTGTCTAACTTTGGGCCCTGTCAAAGTAAACGGAGTCACCTGCACGTTAGTCGCTGCAAACACAAAGACATCTCCGCAAAAACGAGGAACTGGCACCGTTATCCACGGTTCTCACAGGCATTTTCCACCTTTACGGAAAGCTCTTTCCCGAAATCCATAACCTCAAGGACTACGAACGGCTGTCTTCCTTTTGCTCCCTGTTACAACAACAGCTCTCCAAGAGCCAATTGTAAGAGGAAGCCAAGGACTCTTTTACGCAAAGGGAAAATATTGCACGATTGCTTTAATTGCTTCCCATTACACTTCAGGTCCTAACTACCTGGCTAGGGTGTTGAGTATTGCACCAAGATGTTAACCTTCTCCCTTTTTCACATACGTATCACTGTCGTCTTGTTCATTTGGAGGGATCCTAACAGGCTCTTGGGTTTTGGAACTCTTTCTAAAGCGCTAGCAGCTTTGTAAACACATGAGTTGGAAATGTATCGATTTACATCATTCTCCTTATCTCTCACCAAAAAAGGATGCTTGGCGCTTTCATCTAATCTTCTTTGAGAAGACAACTAATTCACCAGAGGAACACGGGTCACGCAGAACCGACCAGGTTGCTTCAGGTGGTCAGGTCATTCCTGGATGCTAAGAAGCTGCTCTGACTTTGACCTGCCTCTCATCTCTCAGGAAAAAAAAAAAATGTAATGAATGGTATAAAAAATATTCTCAGCCACAGAACAGTTTAATAAAACGCTGGTAAAGCAGTATATCCTCAGCAGTTAAAGCTCAGCAGCACAATTGCAAAGAACAGCTGCAGTATGGAAAACAGAAACCCAGATTTTACGAAAAAATAAGGTATTATCCTAACTTATCACCATCTCAAGTTTTTGTGACCACAAAACCTTAAGTAACTTCACTAGCAAGAGGCAGGCTGACTTATTCCAACATTGGACCTTCTCGTTTAGCAGAATATACGTTTATTTATGGTAATATGAAATATCAGGGAAGGCAGTTACCTTATTGCTGCGATTAGACAACATCAAAACTTTACGCGCATCATTAGGTAAGGAAGTAAGTCAAGTGCGTGACAGACTGCTGGTGGGACAGACATCTCAAAAACATCCAGTGCAGCTGAGATCAGGACCGAGCGAGACACCAAGAAACCTCAGGGGGAAGATGAAGTTAGATGAAGGGACGGACCGAGTCAGCTGTGGCCTATGAGCCTCCAACCAAGAAGGTAAAGAACGCAGCAGGAAAAAGGAAAACTAGCCGTGTGTGGTGACTTCACGGGAACGTTTGTTTCATGTCAACAGGCAAAAATATTGCAGATGGCTTCTCTTCCCTTTCTCTGCGTTTATCGGCTTACCATAAAACAGTCCAGAAGGATTTCCCTCAAGTAGGGAAGATCGCATTTCATCACTGTTTCACGTCAAGGCAGTAACGTGGAGAGACTCAAATTCACGCACACTGCACTTTGACGGATCCGTGTGCTTACGCTATACAAATTCCAACTTTTTTCCCCAGGGAAGAACCACCAAGCTGCACAGAGGCTGTTCTCCAGAGTCGGCTGCGCCGTCTCTCAAGCTGGGAAGGGACCGGGCTGTAATGCAGCACAGGAGCCGCCAGAGGGTACTGCCAGGCCACACGGAGGAAGGAATCAAACACCTTCAGAAGAGCATCGCCTCCTACCTTGAGGCTGAACTGAAGGGAGAGGGGATCAGGGGAAAGTAGAGACGGGTATTGGGCAAAAGACGGAGAAAAGGTTCTTGAAAATTGACGTTCTCAACACAACAAATAGGAGAACAGCCACAGGTCAGGAGGACGAGGCCCATTCTGGAGGACATCGAAGGTAGTGACTGGCCACGTGAACCAGAGGATCCGCAAAAGAAGGAATTCAACAGCTTTGCTAGGAGAGAGGCAGGAGCTAAGGCAGAAAGGAGAAAGAAGAGAAGCAGCGGGAGAAACACTTGCTGTATGGAGATAAAAATTAAGTCTTCGAAGTGCTGCCAAAAACCGAACCCACCAGAGCAGCAATGAGGAGGAAGCTTGAAGATGGGGGTCAGCAGGACAGAAGAAGTTGAGATGTTTAAGAGCAGCAGAACGCAGCAAGGAAGGAGAGATCTTGGGCATGTTCAGCTTGAGACAGCAGCAGGCGCAAACACATTAAAAAAAAAAAAAAAGAAGAAACATTTCCAAGTTGGAAGAGAACTGTGGGACCTCTCTAAGGCCGGTACAAGCAAGGAAACTATCGGAAGGCACAGCTTTTTATTTGCACACTCTGGTTATTTTGGGCCTGCTGAAAAGGGCAGATGTTTCAGACCGAAGCCAGGTCAGGCCACGAAGGGAAGGGCAGATCCGGGAGCAGTACCAAGTACGGAGCCGAAGCAGCGTGAGTGGAGCAGGAGCACGGCGGAAGAGGAAACTCGGGACCGATTCACCTGATCAGGGACGTCTACATCTAAAAGCAGGCGAAAACCTGAAGATGACTCTACCCGGACTTCACGTTAAAGGAGTGACCAACTACGAAGATACTCCGAGATCTTAACAGGCGCAACAGCACAAAGACGGCAAAGCAAGCAGTAACATGGGATGCAGGAGTGCAAGGAGAGCCCTCGAGGAGGCCTTCGCTCTTCTGCAGAATACACGCAGGCACGACTTGTTTCTCAAACGAGGCAGGCCGCCTACCCGAAGCACTTCTCTCTAGTCACGGCCTAAACAAAGAAGTAATAAATTAAACTTCACAACGCTTGCTTCTGTGGGGCTTTTTTAAAGTAACAGAGTGACCTTGTGGGTTCCTTGAAACGGGTTCATTTGAGGGCATTTTTCCGCCAAACAGCGCCTGGAAGGTGAGTCACTGAAGCAGAAAACCAATTTTACTTTATTTTCACTCGTAACGTCTCTACCCTCCGGGGGGGGAACTAATCTGGGAATAGGCCGTTCCGGAAGATGCAAAAGCCAGGCGCAGCCTATGCACTATGTTCACGTTCAAGAGAAAAGCAGCAACCCGAAGCACAGGCTGTTTGTGCTCTGAAACAAATGGAGGGAGCCAGAAAGCTAATCAGATCGATGTGCCTACCCAGGCCCCGCGGAGCGCGACTGTTGCCGCTTGCACTAGGCACCCGAGGAGGAAGCACAGGTAAAAACTACTATTTATATCACGCAGGCAACTGGATCCAAGTAACGTTTGCAGCGCAGGATCCGTCTAAGCAACTAAGCTCTAAGTTCAGGAAAAAAGTAAAGCGTAAGTCCCGCTTTTAGAAAACACGGGAGGTTTAGGAAACCCACGTGTAAACAGCAAAACAAAGACGGTACGTTATCGCCGCGAGGCATCCCAGAGCAAGTAAAGGCAGTGCAAGGGCACTAACCCACTCTTGCTCAAAACGTGAGTACTATCTCGAGCAGGAAGTGCGCCGGCCTCCCGTTTCAGGCTGCGTTTCCCCCTCCTGCAACTCTTTGTTCTTCGCAGTCGTCCCCGACTGTAACCGCACATGACTAACAGCGTGACTCACCCGAAAGTGCTGATTCACCCTGCCAGCCCCGAGCAGAGCAGAAAGTAGAGGAGAGCGGCGTTATCTTAAAGCTACGTTTGCGTCCCTTTACAGCGAGCCTTAGCGCTCGGAATGAGTAGGAAAACAGCGTTTGCTAGCAAAAAGCCGCGGGTTTTGTTTAGGAGCGTACCTACAAGGGGATTGCTAGAATTAAGCTAAAATTTAAAACCCTTAGCTCGCAAAGTCTCCCCCCAAAATCCAAGGTAACTTTGCTAAAGGCGCACGTACACCCTGGAATGGTATTGCAAAAAGGTGCAAACTGAAAATGAGAGGCAGGAACGTGTAGAACTGCATGCAAGCGAACGAAAGATATGGGTACAGGATATACTGCATGCAAATACCTCCAAAAAGAGGCTGCAAAATCCAAACAGCTGAAAGGACTGAACTATCAGATTCGTGCCAGGGCAGGAGGACAGCAATGACAACTATAACAATTCTCCA